GTAAATAATAATAATAATAATAATAATAATAATAATAATAAATAACTATACTATAGTAGCTAGGGCTTATTGAACACTTAAAATGTGCCAGCTCTGTGCTAATAGTTTTAAATGCATTATCTCAGTCAAGATTCACAGTAACTCTATGAGGCTAAAATTATGTCATTTCACAGATGGCCAATCTGAGGCTCAGAGAGGTTAGGTAACTTGTCCAAGGTGACACAGCTTAGTAAGAATTGGAGCTAGAAGAAAATTCAAACTTGGACTGTCTAGCAACAAACCCTGGGAACTTAACCACTTTCTGCTGAGAAGAAGGTATTTGCCAAGGAAGAATGTTGCCCTCAATGGCCTCACGCCCACCCCCCTTCCATTCATGGTCCAGGCATTCTCCCTGTGCCATCTGGGGCCTCACACCTTTCCCAGGCTTCCCAGAGACTGTAAAATCTTGTGGCCCATTTAATCACGCAGAGACCCTGACTGAGATCCTCTTTCCTTTGTGCCAGAGCAGCCTGAAGCCATCTCTCTTTCTAATATAGCCAAGAGCTCCTTCCAGGGTGAAAGAATAGAAAGTCGCCTTCACTTTGCCTCTTCTACAGTACACTTGGGTAGGAATGCTAGTGGTTCCAAAGCTGGGGCACTTTAATTCATGATATTCTTTTAGCCATTAAAACAGATTTATACATCTATACATAGGTACACACATACATACATATACACATGCATGTATACATACATACATACAGGATGGGGCAAAAGTAGGTTTGCAGTTGTTCATATGGAAAATAATACAATAATTAATAAATAATAATATAAGATTAAGCTGTTTCACATACTCACAACTGTAAACCTACTTTTGCCCCACCCTGCACTTACAACTATAAATACTCTCTATGACTCAATAAAGTCATTGTATTTTATATTTTGGAAATAAGCTGGTCCATAATTATTCATGCTTTATCTGAATCAGACCTCAGGCCAAAGAGCACAGTGTGCTCCTCCTGCAAGGGGAAACATAGACTGGGAGCACTAAGGGCCACAGAGCAGATTTTAGGCAGGGCTTGTGCCTGTGTTCTTTGTCCCCAGCCCCAAGGGACTGGAAGTCAAAGCCATGGTCTGCCGTCTTTCCAACTCCTTCATTCATTCAGCCGCACCATCCCCAAGCTGCCACGGAAGTGGCTGGTGGTGGGTATTTTTACTCCTCAAACCACAAGAGCAATTAGGCATTTTCAATAATTATTTTGGTGGTGCCAGTGACATCTAGGCCATTCTCAGTCCTTAATCAGTTACCAGCAGGTGAAGTCAAAGCATTTGCCTTAAGGATGTTGCAACAGCTTACCGACTTCCTGTTTCAGTATGACTGTCATTTCAAAAGAAATACACTCCCAAACAGGAGAGAAGAAAACACGTACATGTGAAGTCTCACTGAATGCAATACGGGCGAAATTCATGTTTTCCAAGTGAATCAAAATGTGAATCAAGGTTGGGGAATGTATTTGACCCTCTCGGGATGACATCACAGGTAATTTCACAACCCTGTAATGTGTTTTGAAGTAGACATTTCATGCTCCCAGGGGCAACATCTGAAGTATTATTCCTGGGCTTTCAAGCGTTTTCGTGAGCAGTGATGCAGTATTGGGAGGCCAAGTGTTGATCCATTATAGATACACTTTACTGACTGTAAGCCATTTGGAAATATACATATTATGCTGATCTTTATCATTCTTGGTGCCAGACTCAGACAAGACAAAGATACTGACAGCAGACAGGCACCAAAGTTGATTGAAAGACAAGATTACAGTACACGACCTGCAGGGCCTTTATCAATCCCATTCAGATATGACAAACTAAGAACAGGGCAAGCTTTGAATCTTAGGTCACAGAGCCTTCCAAGACCTCAACAGAAGCCAGGGCTCTCTCTTTTTACCAAAAACCCACATCCACACCTGGTTTTGCAGGTATTTTGTGGGCCCCACGCTTTCCGAAGACCATCCATTGGCCCCTACAGATCTATGGACACCATGGATCTTTAAGAAATCTCTCTTGCCCAGCCAGGCATGGCTCAGCCGTTGAGCATCAACCTAGGCTCCAGGAGATCACGGTTCGATTCCCAGTCAGGGCACATGCCCGGGTTGCGGGCTCAATCCCCAGTCAGGGGCATGCAGAAGGCAGCCGATCAATGACGACTCTCTTATCATTGACATTTCTATTTCTCTCTCCCTCTCCCTTCCTCTCTCTGAAATCAATAAAGATATATATATAAAAGCAAAGAAGTCAACTCCAGTTACCAAACATCCTTAAAAAGAAACCTCTCTTGCACTCAGGTTGGATTGAAATTTAAAGAAGACTTTTTAGTGGAGTTGGGGTTGAGAGACATGGTTATTCCAGCCTACAAGAGAAGGCCTGAGAGATTCTATTCTTGCTCTTTTACGTGGCTTCGGTGTTGCCTTGTTCCCCTACAGGGACAGCAGGAAGGGCCCCACAGCCCCTCTCCTTCAGTAGCTGAAGTGGGAACCATGCATTCAGGAAGGTCACTCTGGACCTCTGTTTGGCAATGCAATGAAGAAATCATCAAATTTTCTACCACCCTGAACTTCAGCATCTGTCTTCCCACTAACCCCCTTTCTCTATGCTAAAACCAAATGATCCTAAAGCAAGTATAACAGACGAAGACAAAAAAAACAAACAGACCTCACTTCTTATTATAACCACAGGCCTTTGTAGGTCTTTGAAGGCAGAGGGACTGCAGCATCCATGATTACCCTTATGATGCTTTTTTTCCTCCCTAGCTGAAGAGGCCACACAGGTGTTTTTAGTTTGGCTATATACCACCTGTATCCTCATCATCCAAGGAGAGGTTAAACTTGAAGTTTCCTGGGATCCCACCCAAGATCTCTGGATCAGGATCTACATTTCTAAGAACCTCCCTTAACCAATCCTTAAGCACTCTCACAGGTAAGAACTTCTGGTCATAGGTTCACCTACTTGCCTTCCCTCATTTCCCACAGTAAGACAACCGACTCCAGGGGATATCAATCTTGAAGGAAACATCCTTGAATGCCAGGAAATCTTTGAAAAGTCAGAGACAACACATTCAATCCGGAGAACTCAAGCTCCAATCTGTCTGTGCAGATTCTATAACCATGTTATTTGCCAACGTGAAATAAAGCAGTTCCTAAGGCTCGGTACCATCAAACTGGGGAATTCAACAACGCTCAGCTACTTATAGGTATGAGTCTCTGAACCCTCAACAAACAAACCCGCCTCAGAACACAGCCTTTGCAGAGGGATTTTATGATGGTTACTCCTACGAAGAGAATCTCGTGGCTGGCTGAGTCACCCCTTACCTGATCCCACCCCCACCTTAGCCCTTCAAAAGGTTACTTAACCAGCCTAGATTTTAGGCTTCATACCCAGGAAAATTGGTGTCTTAGCTCTTAACCTTCAGTGGAGAAAAATTATCATCAAAAAATTCTTTTCATGCTACTATAAATATTTATCAANTAAAAAGAAACCTCTCTTGCACTCAGGTTGGATTGAAATTTAAAGAAGACTTTTTAGTGGAGTTGGGGTTGAGAGACATGGTTATTCCAGCCTACAAGAGAAGGCCTGAGAGATTCTATTCTTGCTCTTTTACGTGGCTTCGGTGTTGCCTTGTTCCCCTACAGGGACAGCAGGAAGGGCCCCACAGCCCCTCTCCTTCAGTAGCTGAAGTGGGAACCATGCATTCAGGAAGGTCACTCTGGACCTCTGTTTGGCAATGCAATGAAGAAATCATCAAATTTTCTACCACCCTGAACTTCAGCATCTGTCTTCCCACTAACCCCCTTTCTCTATGCTAAAACCAAATGATCCTAAAGCAAGTATAACAGACGAAGACAAAAAAAACAAACAGACCTCACTTCTTATTATAACCACAGGCCTTTGTAGGTCTTTGAAGGCAGAGGGACTGCAGCATCCATGATTACCCTTATGATGCTTTTTTTCCTCCCTAGCTGAAGAGGCCACACAGGTGTTTTTAGTTTGGCTATATACCACCTGTATCCTCATCATCCAAGGAGAGGTTAAACTTGAAGTTTCCTGGGATCCCACCCAAGATCTCTGGATCAGGATCTACATTTCTAAGAACCTCCCTTAACCAATCCTTAAGCACTCTCACAGGTAAGAACTTCTGGTCATAGGTTCACCTACTTGCCTTCCCTCATTTCCCACAGTAAGACAACCGACTCCAGGGGATATCAATCTTGAAGGAAACATCCTTGAATGCCAGGAAATCTTTGAAAAGTCAGAGACAACACATTCAATCCGGAGAACTCAAGCTCCAATCTGTCTGTGCAGATTCTATAACCATGTTATTTGCCAACGTGAAATAAAGCAGTTCCTAAGGCTCGGTACCATCAAACTGGGGAATTCAACAACGCTCAGCTACTTATAGGTATGAGTCTCTGAACCCTCAACAAACAAACCCGCCTCAGAACACAGCCTTTGCAGAGGGATTTTATGATGGTTACTCCTACGAAGAGAATCTCGTGGCTGGCTGAGTCACCCCTTACCTGATCCCACCCCCACCTTAGCCCTTCAAAAGGTTACTTAACCAGCCTAGATTTTAGGCTTCATACCCAGGAAAATTGGTGTCTTAGCTCTTAACCTTCAGTGGAGAAAAATTATCATCAAAAAATTCTTTTCATGCTACTATAAATATTTATCAATTGCTATATATATATATATATATATATATATATATATATATATATATACACACACACACACACACACACACATATATATATATCTCGATATATCATGTCCACTAGATGCTGGGCACTGTGCTGGGCGCTGGGGACAAATCACAGACACTGCCCTGACTGGTAGACTATTCAGCAAGGACACCACTTCCAAATAATAGTAGCTCTCTACAATGTCATCCAAGCTCAGTTCCCACTGGAGTGGAGCAAGAGCAGACAGAGACAGGCAACCTGCTCTGGCATTTGGAAATGACCAACCTTGAAAAGAACTTCAACTACGTTTAAAAGCAGGATGGATCTTCTTCTTTCTGGCAACCCCATGTCCTTGCCTTCACAGGAAACCCTTACGATGACATCAAGTTGGCAGGCAGGGTAATGCCCCTGAGTTTCACAAAGCAGCCTTGGCCAAAACCAATCTCCACTCGGGCAGAATAAAGCCATTGGCTGTCTGGATGGCTGAACGTCTGTCCCTGAGACAATGGTGTGTTTATGTGTAGGAGGGTTGTTAACATAAAACCCACCGTAAGCAGAGCTGTTAATTCAGTTGCTGGCAGGGGCTTCTGTTATCTTCTGAATGCCTCCTGGAGGGTTTAAGCCCTACCTTTTCATTTGAGTTGGCAGCAGAGGTATTTTTTTGCACCTGTTGCTCTGCTCCGATAACAACCAGTTAAGCATTGATTTGTTGGAAAATAAACAGAAAAAAGCAAAGAAAGGCATCTGCCCAAACAGCCTGAGCTGGTTTGACTGAGCACTCATGCCAATTTGTTTTTCCTATAAAAACCAAAAAAATACCAAAACCAACACACACACACACACAAACCCTGCATTTTCAGTTTGGATGCTACCCTCCCACTCCCTCAGAAATAAGAGGGAATCGAGTAGGCCAGCCAGAGCTGGTAGGGCCTAGAGGCCAGAAGACACTGTATTTTTCCATTGGCTAGCTCTGTGGCAGCCCTGAGGGGTGTCCAAGATCTGCAGAATGACATGGCCGGCCTCCAGCCAGGCCAGGTTAAGATCACGAATCAGATTAACAAGGGCAGAGAAGGGGTTGCTGGGACATGATCAAAACCAAACCACACTCTTCCAAACTGTTGACTTCCGATAGTCAATATGGTTCAGGGAGTAGGTGTGGTCTATGGGCTACCTCCTAAAACAGAGACTCAGAGTGCCTGAATCTCAGTCTGGCCTCTCCCACAGACCTCCTACATCCAGCCTTGGGCAAACAGAATAATTTAAAAACCCTTGTCCCCAGACCATAGCTTTTCCACGGGGGAAATGAGGCCACCCATACCTACCTCAAAGGCGAGCTGTGCAGAGTCACTCATGTCCCACCAAGTGACTTGAGGTGAAAAGGACCTAAGCTCAAGGTGTGATTTCTGCAGTAATCCAAGCATCACCACACTCTCATTTCTCATCACTTTGTCAATAGCACATGATGAGCTCAAGCCCAAAAGGGCCACAAAGAGCTAAACAAATCACTCAAATGGAGATCATGACAACACTAATTAAGCAATAGCATCATCACCCAGCCTCCAACACACACAAAACAGAAGCCTCTTAATATCTCGTTTTAAGCTTTGAGAAGAAAGCACAGGGCGTGGGCAATGCCCGATGCTCCCCTAGATGACTGCCTTCCCCCAGCTGTCTCTGAGCCGTTGGCCTTCATCACCACCAGACCACTGGCTTAATGGGGGGTCAGGGCAGTGGGGAAATGCCTCAGAAATGCCTGCTTCTCAAGGAGCATTAGGAACAGGGTGTTCCGACAGGAGAGGGATGTGGCTGGCTGAGCATTCCCAAGCATTCTTGTCATGAACAGGGCAGGGAGTGGAGTGCCTCAGAACCAAATTGGGCAGCCAGAAAAATAAAAGATTTAACAACACCCTCAGTTGATTGAAAAATAAATAAGACCAACTGCACTGGAATGCAGAAAGGGTGGAGGGAGGTAAGAGTGGGGATTGGAGCCAAGGAGGGGTTGAGATGGACTGGGACAATGGATTTGACCATTTGGAGATTCAAGATTCTTCCCAAGAAAAGCCCATGATGCTCCAGCTAAGGAAAGGTTGACAGCCACCAATTTGGAATCTCACAGACTGCATAATTACAAAACAGCAACTTAAACCATGACAGTGATGATAGTTCATATTTATTAAGCATTCACAATGTGCTAGGAATTGAGCTAAGCTTGGCATGAATGATCCCATTTAGTCCTTACAATAACTCTGGACAGTGGTACTAATATTATCCTCATTTTATAGATGAAGAGGCACAGAGAGTTTAAGCAGCTTACCCAAAGACACAGAGCTAGTAAATGAACCGGATTTATTATAATAAATATATTGGAGGGGGGAGTGCAGCATAGTTCTTTATAGCTTTGAAAATGGATCCTTGTATTTCTAAAGAGGAGGAGGGAGATGTCTCTTAGTATTTCAAACTTTCATTTTGGCAATTGAGATTCCTTTAAGTACAGCTCCCATAATTTCTTCCCTAAATGTGAATAGGAGACATACCAGTCATCCTGGTGCCCCAGCATGAAGGTTCCCTTTGGCATACATCAGTGCAGATGCTACAAAAGCACTATTTCATGGCCACTCAAACCCATCCATCAAAACTTCAGTCTGGCTCCCTGTTGAAAGCCCCAGATTGACTCAGGGGTTAAGCTCGGCTGCCTGAATCCACCTCAGACTTATTAGCCGTGATAAAAGAGCAATTATTATTACTGAAAAGTTAAGGGGAAACTAGGGCTTCTTTGGAAAAGCACCTGATGTCTGAGCTGTCACACGTCCTGACGACAGACCTGCCATGTTGTGGACATCACACCAACGAAAGAAAGACTGCGGAGGTGTCTTCCTGGGAGCCTGAATTCCATCACTCCGACAAATAAACCCAGGAAATTTCTCACCCTCTTCCACCAAGTACATGATTCAAACCTTGGAACTATTTGTAAAAATTTAGCTGTAAACCACAGACAGAACCTCACAAGCCTTATTCCATTATTACCTTTGTAGCTTAGGAAGCAAATGATATCTGAATTTTTTACAAATTAGAAGATCTCCTATGTAGAAGAATTAGGGTTTTCTTTTTGTACCAATAATCATTAAATGACAGCAGGAGAAGAAGCTTGAGTTTCTTTTTAGTGCCTTCCTAAAAGAATGATAGACTTGGCGCACTGCGTCCCACTTTCCCTTCCAGAACACACTGCTCTGCCTCTCTGAGCTCACTGGTCTATGCACTAAGCCCTCTGGAAAATAAAAAATGCAAAGGGAATACAGTCAATAATGTTGTAATAACTATGTACGGTGTCAGGTGGGTACTAGACTTATTGGGGGCATTACTTTATAAGGTATATAAACGTCTGACCACTATGTTGTACACCTGAAACTAATATACTATTGTATGCCAACTGTAATTGAAAATTTTTAATTATTTTTAAAACTGAGAAAAAAATATCTGCAAGGCAAGCAACTCCTTACCAGAAAGGTTTTCCAAGGAATCAAATTCCTTCCAGCTATTCTCCCATTCCTCTAGTTGGTTCAGAGGAAATCTCTGGAGCTCTAACAAAATTAGAAAGCTCACCAGCTCAGAAACAACAGCATCCTGCTGGCCAGGCCTCAGCTCTCCCCCAGAGCCCAGCCAGATGGGGAAGATAAGAGGGAGCAGGGGGCTGGCTCTCCACCCGAGCGGCCAGCGGCCCGGCATCGGGAGTCATCATGTTCGAACCATTTCAGCACATCCAGAGGCAGGCCCAGCTGCGCAATTTGCAGGGCTCGGTGCAAACGAAAAATGCAGGGCCCCTTGTTCAAAATGTGTGAAGAATTTCAAGGCAGAAACAACAGAGCATGAATCCGAGCCCAGGCTCTTTCGAAGTGAGGGGCCCTATGTGACCGTACAGCCTGCAGACTCAGGACACTGGCCCTGTCTGGGGGCTGGGCCCCACTGTTGCCTTCACCCGCACCGGCCATCACCGCAGGGGACGGGAGGAGAATCTTCTCTGTCTTTGCGCCATGAGCAACTATCTGAAGTAGTTGGGAAAATGAAACAAAAGATGACACTGAACATGCATGTAAAGGCAGCTGGCTCACAGCAGGCCCTCAACAAATGTTAGCTAATATTACCATTATTATTATTGCTATTGCCATTACTTTCATTATGCCAACTCTAAAGCTACCCGTAAGCAGGAGCAATGGACGGAAAACACATATTCTGTTTGGATAGAGATCGTCCACTAGCTCATGCTGTTCAGACGTCTCTTCATTAGCTTTACGCGAGACAATGCTCTGAATTAGGAGTTCCCTTTTATTTACACCATGGACCCATAGTGAAGCCCAATGAGACCTAGGTACTCCTCCTCAATATATTTTTAAATGACAAAATAAAATATATAAGATTAGAAAGTTTCTATTGAAGTACAATGACCAAAACACTTTTTAAAATAAATGCCTGATATAATAATATATGTACTTCTTTATTAAGGCATAAAATAAGATTGTCTAGTACAGGTCTAATAACCTCCATGAAATATAGATAGTGGTGAGTGTCACTATTTTGAGACAATTTGAAACGAGTGTAATGGGCTAGGAACATGCCCGTAACTTCTCTAGGTGACAGTCACAGTTACAGCTAATGCTCTAATGCTACTGTGGAGTTTTGCTTACAATCATATTGAAAGAAAATGTTAAGTTTTAGTTAGGTTACTAAAAGTAAAAACAATTTTCTTCAAATCCAAGGTCACAAATTCCCTGAATTCTCTCCTTGGACAACAAGAGACCCTTGGATCCCAGATTAGGAACCCGTCCTGTTTTATTAACAGCAAAAACTGCTTGTTCAACTCAAATAGCTTCTAGAAACCACTTCCATGTGGCCAGAAGCCTCATTTGAACGAATTACAGGAGGCAGACCCCATAGTGTCTTGGCATAAGTAGTAGGAATTTTTTTCAAAGCCTCTAGAACACCTAGGATAATGCCTTAGCTGCAGTGAGCAGTAGATACCTGGAAACACTCCTAAGAATTTTAGGGGTGGGCAATGTGAACTGCCTGGAGGGGGATCAGTTTCTTCTGGAGGCTCCTACAGGCCAGGCATCCAGACACAGGGATAGGAACGAGCTGTGTGCCTGCCCCAGATCTTCTCAGAACTCCCACGGGTTGTGGTTTGCAGCCAGCTCAAGACAAGGCTGTTTGGAGGTCCCATCTCCCTGCCAACCACCTTCCCCAGTGAAAACCTACAGCATTTCTTTCTCAAGATCGCAATGCAGAGTCAATGCTGATCGTTTCGAAGGACAAAATCCCAGAATTATTCATCTACTTGGATCCAACAGAGACTCACTGAAAACACTCATGTTGAGGATTTATCTTCAATTTCCACTCCATATATTACCAATTATTTACTCACAAGCATTTGTCTAGGTGCTTTCAAATTCTATGTGTAATTTATTCCT